TCACCCTAATTAGTTTCTGTTCTTGCAGCTCTAAATGATTAAGTAACAAACTCGGATTACATTTCAAAAGCAAATTTATCTCAGTGACTTTCAGTGTTGTCCTGACCTTACCTTCGGCTCTAGAAAACAAATGTCTCTTTCTCGAAGCTCTTCAAATTAATTGCTCAGAGCCTCTGATGCTTGTGTAAGTTTAAAGTCTGGCAGGGAAGACATGAAAACCACAAAGGTGCTTTGGATATGTGCGCATACACACAAAGAGACAGTGTAACAGAGAGAAAGAAACAGAAAACATGCCATCCCTAACAAATGATGCAATTCTATTCTGAGCACATCAGTAACAAATGTACCTACCCTTTGATCTGTAATTAGTGCAGAACCTCTCATATGGAAGTTTAATACTGACAAAACTATGAAGTATGCACAAATCCAAACTACAATGTTCAAAACAGAAAGTGTGCACAGGATCTGATTTGCATTTACAACCCTGTCCCTGTGTAGCCTTTAAATCCAAATTAAATTAAATAGCTTTATTTATTTTTGCTTGATAAACCTCAAACTTATTTTCATACAACCGATAACATTGTAACAAACATATGTTAAGCTTAATGCATAGTTTCCATATCAGTGTTACCACAAGAGTCTGGGACGTATAATTCTGCTCATGTCCTGAGGGTTTGTGTGGATCATCCACATGTAGCCCAATATGTATGCCCACAGATTATACCTGCAGACTGTACAAAGATGTGAACATGTCCATGGACATGCAATGCGAGCTAACTAATTAGCTGCAGCACATTGAACAGCATAACTTAAAACCTTCAAATGTCACTTTGTACCATTTAGATCTGGGATCTCAAACTACCAGCCCTCCATCCCCCTTTCTCTGGTCTGTGATCTAATGCCAAGAATATAATATAAGCAGTCCCGCAAGATTATTATTATTTTTTTTATCATATCAATTAATTACCTAACCCTTAATATAAAATAAAAATACAATTCTATTTTTAAAGCTGGGGTCAAAGGTGCTCACAAATGCATAGAAAGGGTTGATAAAATGAGAACAGGTTTCAGGCCTTCATTTGTCAAAAATGAAATGACGATATTACACCGATCAGCCATAACATTATGGTCAGATAAAAAACAAAATGTTATGCGGCCCCATACCAACAAACTGTGTTCTGACACCTATCTATACCTTTCGGATACCTTTCGACCCTGTCTCCAGTTCACCACTTTCCTTCCTTGAAGCACTTTTGATAGGTACTGACCTCTGCAGACCGGGAACACTGCACAAGAGCTGCAGTTTTAGAGATGCTCTGACCCAGTGGTCTAGCCATCATAAATTTGGCCCTTGTCAAAGTCGCCAATTTCTGTGGCTGCTATTTTTTGTTAAGTATGATGTCAGTAATGGAGATATTTTCAGAAATATTAAGCTTTCTTATAGAGCGTTCAAGTGGCCCTTCTATGAGATTAGAATACCAGCAGTGGCCCAGAGCCAATTTGAGTTTAAGACCCCAAATTTAGATGCTTTCTCTTAAGTAGCATTTTTAGTGCAGTGTGGCATATAAGCTACAGTGCCAATTTGGTGGTTTTGTCTCTTTTTTTCCCTGATGGGGTTTATGCTGCATCCACAGCATTCAAAGTAGAGATAGGAAAGATTCACATTCAAATGTTCACATTGTTGGATAACTGGAGTAAGTTGTATGATCAGATGAGTGACGATTATAAAGTGAAATTTACGGGGTCCATTTGCATTAGATGATGGACTGACTGACCTAAGTTGTGTAACAATACGCATTTAAGTCGGAAACTCATGATAACAACAACTTGAATATGATATGAATGCATCATAAGCCTGCTGTCAATAAAACCTGGAAACGACACAGAAAAAATATATTTTGTTATTATCATTATTACATATTCTTTTTGACGGTGAAAGCTGATTGTGTTTTCCAGTTTTCAGATTGTTTACTCCTTAAATATGTTTTTGAATTCCTCAAAAGTTTTGTCAGCAAGGAACTTCCGCATCCTCGGGGCCAATCAGTGTAATTGTGTAACTTTGGTAACAGTGGGGTTGGGGGGGGACACTCATCATTTTAACAGTTTTCCTCAAAATGCAATCAGCGATTAATCAGATATTCTGCATTATACAAGGACAACCGCATCATGAAATAAAACAAATCTATGAATGATGGTAGCACCCTCCCTCTTGGGCTGTAATTTTCCAAATGCCAGAACACAGTGGTGAGAAAAGACTAATCTGCACTTTCATCAGCCCCAAAGTAAAAAAATCAATGACACAGTGAAAAGAGGGAGAGTCACAGAGGTTTAATAAAATGACATATTGTGTGTTTCTAAGCAATTCCCACCCTGAACACTCTCTTCCAAACACAGCTCAGTGTCTGAATAGTGTAATCAACATTTGTATAATCATCCCTGTTTGATTTTATTAAAATCTCACCTGTGAGCTGGCCCCACACTGATCGATGTAATTAATGTAGTAGTGAAATGGGTTATATGGAGAGCAATCATCGTGCCACTTGTTTTCTTTCCTCCAAATTGGGATTTCACTTCAATACAAAAGACTACTCTAACTTACTTCGAGCACCAGAGCAATCGGTAGGATTTTATTGTTATCATTATGTACTGTAGAGTGTCAGAACCTGCTAATCAGATTTGGCTGCCTGAGTTTCTTCTTTGTTTGCTTGTTTGTTTCGCTCGAAAGCACCACCGTTTGTTGGATTTGAAAGTATCTGATAATTTGAAGAGCATGAAAACTGTCTTCAAGGCTGAATCCACACTAACCATTTTGCTTTTTGTGTTTGGTTTTAAACAGGCGTTTACGTTTTCCCGTGTTATTCAGTTGTGAAAGCTTTATTCAAAGTGTTGAATTTATAAGCAGTTAGGTTGATTTACTTCAATGTTCAAGTGCTTGCTCTGGTCATAGGAATATTAAGCTTTGTCTTATAGCTCCTCCTAGTGACTGACTCTGGTAAAATAATCAAGACTTGAGTATTTCAGTTTCATACTACTATATTAGTATTCTACTATACTATACTTTTATTGAAATACATTTATTGGACAGTTATAGTAACTTCTTAATGAATTTAAAAAAATGTTTATTTAAACAAAACATGTGTTCACTTTATAAAATATGATACTGCACTATAGATTGAACTACCCAACAATAGATAAAGTATTAACTTTAAAATGTTGCTTAGGCATTAAAGCATTTGTAATAATCACTGTGAAACCAGATAAGTTAATTTGCTCAGTCAAAATAACTCAATTTATTAAGTTAAAAAAAACATTCAATCAAGTAATTTTAAGTGATTTAATTTGGTAATATTTATTTGTACTGTGAAAACAAAGTTAAGTTATTAAAAAGTACTTAAACAAGAATGTTTCTAACCCTAACTAAATTGGTGTCACTACTAGTACGTTACTAGTAAAAGCTGCTTAATCTGGAATCTTTTTAAAATGAATTAACTTTGTGTTACTTAAAATTTTCGATGTAATCCGTTTCAACAATTCTTTTGAGTTAAAATAACTTATTGCATTACAGTGTAATATGATATATATAATAATACTCTGAAAGGGACCATTCTGCACAACAAACTTTAATATACTTTTTACATTTTGGTGTTTTTGTGCTTTTACTGAAGTAAAATCTTGAATGTATGACTTTTACTTAACTAACAGATATGAGTACCTCTTCTACCACTGCCTGCAGAGCAAATCTGATTAGTACCCTTTTAAATACTCTGATGTGGACATTGTTTACTAACTCATCCGATATTAGACAGATGTATCCGTCTGCATGAATTGAATCTCATGCACGAGTTTGTGAAAAAACATCTTAATTTGCTCCTTTTATCTATTTTGTGGCCCTTTGAACATATATTTGCCAAAAGTTCCCTATAAATAAACTTCACTTGAATCTTGACATTGCACAAGTGATTTTATTCAAAGGTATACACAAGATTGTATCAGCAGCATACAGCTGGATGGACATTAAGTGTGAAACATTATCAGACAAATGAGTAAACATGAATCAGTAACAGACTCTGATACAGTTAAAATGGGACTCTGTGATTATAAATTTGAATAAGACTCAACTCAACCTGAAAAGTCTCAAACCAAACCTGCTATCAGGTCCTGGGATTGAAACTTTATAATTAAATCTTACAGTAAGACACACACATCAGGCACAATGAAAATAGCCAACAGAAAGGGGAAACATACAGGATAACACTGTCTGTTACATTTAAACCACAAAAATAAAACATCTAAATTAACAGTGAACACGTCTCTGAATCACCTACAGCGGATCTTTATGGCTTGGTCAAAGTAAAAAAAAAAGGTAAAAACGAAAAACATACGTACGTATGTCTTCAATTTATTCCCATAATTATTAAGTCGTCTGTGGGTCAAGTGTTTCCATCAAAAAGCAAAACTCTCATTACAAAAAACATCCCATACAATACAAATTCTAAAGTTTACAATATGGCTGTCATTTTTGGTCTCTTTAAATCCTATTTACAGCTTATGTCAACAGTTAGTTCACCAACGATTGATTCATAGAACTGCACCCAGTATTTACATTTAAAATACAAAACAGTGTGCCGTAAGAAAACCACACCCAGCCTGCAGAAAACGTCTAAATTACACCGGATCAACATTTCAGCCTAAGGTTGTTTATGTACAGTAGAAACACCTTTTATTTACAGACCATTATAATTCAGAGCAGTACCAATGATTTCACATTGAACACCCATGCCAACACTGTACTGTTTTTTTGGTAATTTTTATGTAATTGTGGACCGATTCACAGTAAATGTAAAGCCCTACTGCAGAGTCTGTAGCCGAAACACAGTATATATATATATATATA